TGTGGGAAAATTCACCTATCCGTCACTTTGTTAAGCATTTAGTATGTGCAAGTGAGTGTGTATTTTGTAGGGCCTCATATCTTCTTTAAATGCTTGTTTGCTGGCTGGTACTCTGTTTAAGGGTTCGGATGGTGGCTCGCTTTTATTGTGTAACTATTGGTGTTTGGTGGTATTCACTTATTTTGATACTTCACTTGATAATTATGAGTTATGCGATTTATTCACTATATTTGGTTGAGGCTTTGAAGGACTGGTAGCTGTATTTTCCCACAATCATATGAATAGACCTTACACTTGCAGTGAATTTCACATAGCCTTGTTTAAGTTAACGCCAAGCCAAGAAGACTATCTGCTTCTATCCTACATGCTTATATAATGATAACTAAAAAATAAAAATATATAATAGCTCGATTCCACCTATTTCGTTCAAGGTGATGAAGGACTGTTGGTAATGGCTAACTTGTCTGGACTATACGCTTCACTAGCCCGGTTAGAGTCCCCGTGGGGATGCGGATGAGACCCAGACGAGGTCGTTTACTACCGCTTGGATGAGAATACCTTTGCGAAAGCAAGGTTATGTGAAATTCAGTTGAAACATCAGACATATTCTTAGCATATAAGCAGTAAATCAGTTATATGAGATGAACTCACCCTATTTCGTTTAAGGTGATGAAGGACTAGTAGTAGCATTTTCCCACAATGATACGAGTAGAGATGACTACAAGTAAATCAGTTTTATGAAATGTATCGAAAGTAATGTAGTCGATTATTATAGCAAACATACGTTTGCTTCATCGACAATCCCACCAAAGAATGTGATATGCGAAAAGGCCTAACCTTCCTTGAAATTCACATCTGCCCTGTAACCCAAGGGCACTCGTGGCAATGTGGCTTAATGGTTAATGTGTCAAACTCACATGCTGCACTATCGCGGTTCGACTCCCTCTGGGAGAGTTGATAAGACCTATGCGAGGTTGGAACTGCTGACCATCCTGGATGAGAACAACTTTTGGGAAAGCAAGGCAATGTGAAATTCAATGGAAACGTCAGATATACTCGTGTCATTGTGGGAAAATTCTACTACCAGTCCTTCATCACCTTAAATGAAATAGGTTGAATAGATCTCATATGAGACATATTAATCTGATTGTGGGAAAATTCAGCTACTAGTCCTTTATAACCTGAACGAAATAAGGTGGGTGCATCTCATATATGTGATTTATGGGTAGTCTCTAAAACCTACTTGTACTCAAAGAATAATTATTATTTACTTTCGCTTTTTTGTATGACATTACAGTGAATTTTACTCCACAATCCATTTGGCTACATCTCTCAACTCATGCAACGCCAAGCGGATTCATCGGCATTGTGTCCCGCGGCGACTTAGTGAACCTAGTTGCCGTATCGAGT